TTTTTTTGCCCTATAATTGGAATTTTGAGAATTGATGTTACCGGTCTTAGATTATTTTTGTGCAGCTATAATGAGCAATTGTATATAGAACCAGATGTTATCTAGAGTTGAACATGTCAATAAAGTTTTCAATTCTGGGTAAGTTTCTATGTCTATGTAATGATTGAGGGGATTGATTTGAAGTTGTTCCTGGTTTTTGTGTTTTGGTGGGACAAAGGACGGTATGATTTTTATTGTGATATGCTGTGATTGGTAACTTGGTCAATCTTGAGTTTAGATTAATCGCAGGTATGAAAGTTGTTGCTTCCTTAGGAGATTGATATGTGAGTATAGCCAAAAGAAACAAGATTTGCATATGATTTTCATTGACTTAGAAAAATCCTATGATAGGGTGCCTGAGAGAGTGTTGTGTTGCTTTCCAGAAAGAAGGAAAATTTCTATTTACTAAATCAATATTATTTAGGACATGAGCATGAGATGTATTGGCACAGAAGTAATATAGAATGTCCTACCACTATAGGCTTGCATTGAAGTTCTATCTTAATTCCTCATCTTTTAAATTTAGTCATGGATGAGCTCACAAGACACATCGAAGATGAGTTCCTTGGGTATGTTACTCATTTGATGATGCTAGGAACAAGATATATTGTAAATTAGAACTGAAGGTGTCACCAATTGTGGATAAATTAAAAGAAAGGATAAATTGGGTTGTTGGTTGTGCATGCATAAACTTATAGAAGCTCACATTCACAAAAGTGATGTGATCCCTATAGTATCAGAGGGAGGTAGACCAAAGTTAACAAGCCATGACCTGACATTTTTGCAAATGATTTGATCGCACTACATCTTCCTAGATGTAGCGACGAATCTAATGGATTGTTAAAAAGTATATTGTGAATATTTGTGGATAAGAAAACCTACCAAATAAATCTTTTTCTCTTATTAAGGTTACATAAGGCTCTATTGGGCTGTGAACAGCATTATCAAGGAAAACAGATCAAATCAAACCTTAGGAAAAGCAAAAAAGAAATGTAACTACGTGCATTGAATTTATCTACTGCAATGTATTGCACTGAAAATTTCCTTTAGTTGTGGGATGTTACGGATTTCTTGTGACAACCAAAAGCTTCAGAAATGGATAAGCAGGAGTTAGAAGTTTCTTTTGTTATTTTGATGCAGGAGCGTATTAATTTGACAACGAACAATTGAATAGCAAGAAAAGAAAGGGGTCCGATCTATTCAAAAATCAAACGAACTTCTAACAAACTAAAACACGTCGAAATAGTTGAACTAATCTAATCAAATTTAAATAGATATATTTTGAATAAAATTCCTTTATGAAATCCTAATTAACATGTAACTCTTATCGCCATCACATTCCTCTCCAACTATTTTCCATTTCCAACACGCCTAAATGATTCTCTTTTCCAGAAGATCCTCTTTGGTTGGTGAATTTTGTATTTCTTATTAGATATAGTTATTTATTTTAGGCATCCATTAAAGCTTCATTGAATAATTTCCTCATTGCTGTGCGTTCCTTGTTTCTTCTTGACAGATTGGCTACCATCCTAATTTTGAAAGTTCACGATGTTTATTCATAGTTCGGAAGGATGGAGAATTGGTTGACTTCTCATACTGGAAATGCATAAAGGGTTTGATCCGAAAAAATTATCCTCTGTATGCAGACAGCTTCATACTTAGGCATTTTCGGAGGCGTAGACACCACGATTGAAGGTAAGCATTTGAATCGTGCTTGCCTATAGTTATATTCCTTTGAAAATTTCCCATATGGCTTTAGGCTTAGTGTATCGCTCATTTATGCTGAAGCTTAATGTATTAGTTAGAGGTGATGTTGAGAATTCTTTTACTTCATTTGTTTGGAAATTGGTATAATTTTCTCTTATGAATATTTAAGATGGTTTTCTAATTGATTAGAAAGTTAGATATAGTTGCTTCTTCTTCTAGCATTATTATTCGGAACTGTGCTTTGATTAAAGCTTTGCCTACAAACTCAAGGGAGCCTTTTTCTATTTTTACGTCATTATTTTCATTTGTTTTTGGGTAGAAAACAATACAGGAACGTGAACTTAATTTTGCTGGTGGTCTCAATTTCCATGCTTGAAAATCGCAAACATCAACTAAATAAACTAGGTCTTCTCATTTCTTTTCTGTGGATGAGTCTCATTTTAAAATTTTGAATGAAGGAGAACTTTCTCGTAATCTTTTCTTTCAGATAGTATCATGTCACCAATTTATGCGTGTGACACAAGGATAAATGAGATTTTTTCTTTAGGTGCCTTGGGCGTCTGATTCCAATCAATCCGGCTACAGATACATTATGGATTACACCTTTATTTATACTATTTCATGTGGCATGATCTATTAATTTTTCCCCCGCGTTTCCCATTAATGCACGGATTCCCCCCACATGGGGGGAATGTCATGCTGTACATCTATCATTTTTCGATTCCAGTAGTCGAGGCCACTGAACTCAAAAGAATACCATTACTGGATTGGTGTGAAGTTTGTCAGCCCCCAACCTGACCAACCTTGAACCCCTAAAAAGTAACTACAGCCCCAAATCTTTATACTTTCTTGGCAACTATTAAGTAATTTCCAAAACATACCGGACAACAAGAATCCATATAACAATTCATTGAGGATTAAGAATGTCCTTTGAATGAGCGTTACCTGGCTGCTCAACTTTCTATTTCCATTACACGCTGAACCTGTAATCAGTACTCTGACATCAATATGTATATAATGCAATTCGATCCAAATGAAAATTTTGCAGCAATTTAAACATCACTAGTGTTTTGTGAAAAAAAAATATTATACTTTTTCGTCATAAACTCTTTCCCCATTACATTCAGATAGACTCCAATGTCCTAGGGGGGAGCTCGCTCCTCAGCTCTACGTCGTTCACTTCACTATGATATCTATTTTACGTTCATTATCTTCAACTTGGGAGCTCATCTTCTTCGATAGCTTGTGTGAGTTATCTACGAAGCTCTAGGCTTTTGCCTACGCTTCGCTTAAAGCATAGTTTTAAAATTGCTGGGTGGATTAGTCATTATGGTAATTAGGGATATGAAGTTGCAACATATATATGTTATTTTTGATCCACGCAACACTGAGAGGTCTGGTTAACTTGAAAATTAAAGTCACATGCATGGAAGAATGCTTTCATAAAATTATGTCCATTAGTAAAACCTGTTCACCTAATGTAAATGTTAATGATTTAGCCTCCGTTTGACAATTTATAAATTATTTAATTTCGTTTCAACCACACAATTTAATAGATTTTATAAGTATTATTTATTTATTCACTACTTATTTCTATTATGTATAATTTTATCATCCTTATTGCCAGCTTTGATTTATTCTCAGGTTAGTGTAAATTGAACTAGAGATGTCAACGAGTCGAGTCGAATCGACTCACGAGCCGGAATTCTAGGCTTGGGCTCCGCTGGGGTAAAATATTTGAGCTTTTTCCGGGCCCGAGCTGGGTAAAAAAAAATTAGGCTAGGACCGGCTCGAGTTTTTTTTTTTTTTTTAATAATTAAAAAGGCAGTAGGTTGCTGCATTGTTTGGCAGCAACCTACTGCCTATTTTTGGCTGCCTTTATTTTTATTTTTTTATCTTCTTTTAAATATATGCTCAGTTCTGGCAAGTTACACGAACTGTCTCTAGCTTTGTCCGGCATTTAAAAATGGGGCTCGACCCGAGCCTCGAGCCAAATGGGCTCGATCTTTTTCAGAGCTGAATTAATAGAACCATACTAGAAAAATTCAGGAGGATAGCCCTAATGTAGCTTATTCTTAAATCAGCAGAAAAAGAAGTAGAAGCGGTTGTTTTGGGGGAAAAACAAACATCTCTTGTTAGGTTGACTTGGAGACAAGACTACAGATGGCAGGATTGGATTTGATAGTTTTAATATAATATAGGATTTGGTCAGTAGTCTATCTGACGTAATGATGACATTGACAATGAACACGATTATTAGAGTTGAGACGTGTCCTCGTAGAACAGCTTCTGAATAATTTTATTTGTCCTGCAAAAGGCATTCTGGAAAGTTATGAACATTGATACGTGTCCTCGTAGAAGATGACCATTGAACAAGAATAATGATAAGAATAATTATTTAGTCAGTTATGGATAATGATAAATAAGTCAAGTAGGAACATGCAAATGCTTGGTGGTTGGTTAACCAACTAAAGGGTGCACTTAGAGCGGTAATAATTATAAGAATTGATTTTTTTATTGTTAAAAGAAAAAGTGGATCCCAATTATAAGTGAAAAGATAAAAAATGACAGCTGAAATAGTGAAATAATGTTCAAAATTTTGATTTTTTTTTAAATTTTTTTGTAAAAAATTGCTACCAAATGAGGGCTTAGCTCCGGGTAGAAATTAAGCCCGTGTTTGTCACCAATTATTTCACATTATTTTTTTTACCGTAATCATTTTTAACCACGCACATTTCATTAAAATAATATTACACGTAAATCAAAAAAATTTCATTCTTTTTTAACCACACATTCTTGATCAATTTACTATTCTATAATACATTTTTCAAAATTAAAAGGGCTCAAATGCACTCTAAAATTTAAATTTAAATTAAAGTAACAATTAATTTTAACCACATATATTATAGAGTCATAATTTTTTAACTATATATTTTATTAATTTTTATCAAAATTTATTAAAAATTTAATTTTAATCCTACAAAGATGAGGCTACTATGATATTTCAAACACCACAAAAAATAATAATAAAATAAAATAAAAAACAATGTTTGTGGGAGAAAAAGGTTGTGTGGGCAACAATTGTCAAGTATAGAGTTACCGACATAGAAATTGGAAAAAGGAGAAAGGAACTAGGCATCACCGACAAATGTTTGTGTATAGGGTCTATGGTTTGGTTGATATGGGAATAAGTTTATTGGTCTACTTTATTAAGAGAAAGAATCTGATTTATCATATATTGGATAATATTTTTATGTTTTAGCAATATGTGATTTTATTTTTATCGAGCCTAGATTCTTATAATTTTAACTTTGCATCTTTGTTTGATGCAGTGTTTTAACTCTGAATATGACCCATAAGTTTGTGGTTTGTTTGAGTAGATTCAAATTGAACTTCGATTATTCGTTTGAGTTTTAGATGAATCGAGATACCTAAGTTCAAATGTTCATCGGACCGAATTGATCGTTAAAGTTTCATAAGCTCTGATATCATATTCAGCCCCTGTTTGAGCCATCTTTTGAAGGAAATTAGTAGAAAAAATATGACCGTTATAGTTAATTTTGGGGCCTACATCAGAAACATGAGGTCAAAATAGGTGGGCTGCACATGAAGTCTAACGGTCAACTTTCTCATTTTTTTGTCCAATTAATGTGGTCCAAACAGACTCTCAAACTTAAAATTTTGTATTAAAAGATCGATATTGGTAAGAAAAGTAGCTCAAATTTTTATATAGTTTATTTGTATAGTCTTATCTTAATTTGTTTGGCTTTTCATATGACAACCATGCACATCAACTAAGTGCAAAGAAAGATAAAATATGAGTCTAATTTAGTTCCGTTCATGTGAAAAAGATGTTTATATATCTCTTATATCTAGCCACTTGGCACAAGTAATAGTGCACAACAACAAAGAAACAAACTAAAATTTAGAGAGGGATAGAAAGGGTTTGTCTTTTTGTTATGTTGTCAAATGTCCATAGGCACAATCAGATTTTCCTCAATCGACAAATCTTGTATTGGGATCATGATGTGAAACGCCTATTTTTGAATAATGTCACATGCAATCATTGTTTTACGTAGTATACATATGACAATTCGTAATTTGATATATGATGTAAGAAAAAATTACCATATTAATAAATTAAATCACAAATCGTCATTGAAAATGTCGTGTAGGATAACTACCGCAGTAAGTAATTACCAATAACATTAATTCCCATTTTCAGCCTTTGTTGGTCTTGGATAGAAAATAATTTTTATTTTTCAATTTTTAGACTTTACGAAAAGAAAGAAAGTATTAAAAATTATAGGATGCATTTGACTTTGTAGTTTGACTAATTCTATATATTGTATCTTGTATTTTGTATGAATTTAAAAAAAAAAAAAAGGATGAGTCAACATATAAGTTTACAATTGAACTCGTGAATGACAGAACGTTTCGTGTTGGAGTTTCACGTCAAAATGTGTAGAAGGCTAGATAAATTGTCACATAACTATTCCACATTTGAATTACACGAAATGTTAATAATCTTTACTTGATATCATATTTATGTTTCTAATTTTTTTCAAGTATTTTTATTCTCAAATTAACACAAGTTGTCCCTAATGACGTCTTCTATCAAAAAAATTAGTAAAAATATTTATTTGCTCCTCCCATATTTAAATAACTAAAAAATAAATATAAATTTTAGAACAAATATTTGTGTTTCAGTTTGAAGTACGCCAATAGTATTATCGGACAAAAATCGTGACTAATAACAAATTTACTAATTAATGAAATGTTAAAATAAAAATATGATGAATAAATTAGAAATATAAATATTACGATGAATAAATGTCAAAAGATTTTTTTAACATAACTAAAAATATTATTTATTTAACCATGGTGGGATTTTATTTCCCCCTCCATTTTTATTTATTTTATTTTATATAAATAAAACGGCCTCTCCACAAAATTGTGATCTGTAATGTTGGAAATTGGAATGTTTGAAATTTTACACAACCATGACGTCATAAAGACGTCAAATATACTCTATAGCCAAGCGAAAGATCAAACCATATAAGGCCAAAACCGCAACGGACTTCCAACGGCCGTGCTCTCCCATCGCAGCTAAACGACAAAACCCAACTCTCATCCAAAATCTGACGGTTAGAAATTTCCATGCGTGGACGGCCTAGATTCTCCCACCTCGCGTGATCTTATTGGCCACCTAGAACACCTAATCCCCCTACTTCATGGTTATTTATCCATTAGGTCCCACAACTCTTTCTCGTTTGTTATCTTACCCCGCTAGAAGCCGTCTTAGGACACTTGGCAACAGCCCAAGAGAAGCTTCCACCAGCCGACAACCAAAAAAATATTGGGATATTTTTGGCTACTCAAAATTTATTTAATATCTATGCTAATCTCATAATTTTCTTGTAATTATCTGCTTATTAAGACTTCTTTCCCATTTCTTATTTTGGACCATTAGTCAATTATTAGCTTTTACATGGTGCATAGATATTTTTAATACTTGGTGGAATCAATCTGATCTCTTGATCACTTCTTAAGATACTTTCATGTGGGCTCATTTACATTTGCTTTCTAATTTTGATTCCAGTTTTCAATTTCCTCATTTGGATTGAGTTTTGGTGGGTTTCTTCAAAATCAGTGGTTTGTATTTACTTGGTTTTGCATGTAAATTCAGGGGATGAATTTGTGTGTGGGTTTAACTTGTTTTAGATAGCTAGGCAGAATCTGCTGATTACTTTATGCTTTGAGATGAAATGTATTAGTAGAATTTAATCTTGAAATCGTTAGGTGTTAATATCCATCTAATTTCATTGCATTACCAATTCGCAGATATATATGCACATTTACATTATTTCATGCATCTATAGGTCTGGGGTGTATGCACAGGGAAAGATAAATAGAGATAAGAATTAATAGAGGTTGAGTGTTAGATAATTAGATTGATCTGGCTTATTTTTGGTGATATCATAAAGCAATTGGCTTTGAACATTGTTGTAAGCTACCAGTCTGATTGCAATGTGGAGTAATTTTAACTTCAAGAATTTTGGAAATGATCCACCAGCCGATGGAGGCGGTGGTGGAAGGCCACCGGGTAGTTCGGGTAGTTTTCCTTTGACAAGGCAGTCATCAATCTATTCATTGACTTTTGATGAGCTCCAAATCTCCATGGGGATGAATGGAAAGGATTTTGGGTCGATGAACATGGATGAGTTGCTGAAGAACATATGGAGTGCCGAGGAGAATCAAAACTTGGGATCCGCTAGTGGAGCTGGTGGCCAAGAAGGGGTTGGCCAATTGCAGCGGCAGGGATCCTTGACGCTTCCACGGACACTGAGCCAGAAGACAGTTGATGAGGTCTGGAGAGAGAGGTGGAATGAGTATAGTGGCGTGAAGAATGAGAATGGTGATGCTGGTAACTTGAATATGCCTTGGAGGCAACAGACTTTAGGGGAGGTAACACTTGAAGAATTCTTGCTGAAAGCAGGCGTAGCGAGGGAAGATGCCCAGTTTGCTGGAAATCCTACCGGTATTGGAGGTTTTGATGATTTGCCTGGCAGTGGGAACAATACTGGATTGGGATTTCTGTATCAACAGGCTAACAGGAATGCAGGGTTGATGGCTAATAGGATTCCTGGAAGTGGTAATCAGATTGCTATGCAGTCTTCTAATATACCATTGCATGTGAATGGGTTCAGATCTGCTGCACAACAGATGGAGAGTCAACAGCAGTTGACGCAGCAAGAGCTCCTTCCAAATCAGCCTGCCTTCGCCTATGGAGCTCCCATGGATAGGAATCAGATTGATATGCAGTCTGCAAATTTACCACTGAATGTGAATGGAGTCAAACCTGCCGGACAACAGCCGGATGGTCAACAAAGGCCTGTGCAGCAGCAGCACGAGCTTCTTCCAAAGCAGCCTGCCTCGCCTTATGGAGCTCCCATGGGTATTCCAAGTAGTGGACAGTTGAGTAGTCCAGCAACTAGGGGCGGGATTCTTGGGAATTCTGATCCAGTGAAGACTAATAATTTAGTTTCTAGTGCAGGCCTACAGGGTGGAGGACTTGGGGTGGTTAGTTTAGGAACTGGGGGTGTTTCTGTTGCCACAGGATCTCCAGCTTTTTCAAAAGATGGGTTTGCAAAGAATAATGGAGATACATCTTCCATATTACCTGTCCCTTATGTGTTTAGTGGCGGCTTACGGGGCAGGAAAGGTCCTGCTCTGGAGAAAGTTGTGGAAAGGAGGCAGAAAAGAATGATAAAAAACAGAGAATCAGCTGCAAGATCACGAGCTCGAAAGCAGGTATATATCTTAATATACAGAATAGAGATATTAGCTTGATAGTTTTGGGATAAACATGATGTTTATAATTATGATGCTTTTATAAAATTCAAGCATATTAGTTTGATAGTTTTGAGATAAATGTGTGATTTTTTTTTTTTTTTTTGGGTTCTGGATGCTTGGTTTTGAAATAGGAAACTGCCATTTGAACAAACCTTTGACATTAAAAGTGAAAGATGTCTCATCCTTATATAGCAGATGATGTTGAGTACTAAAAGGAAAACTAGTAATTAGCCTGCATATGACCTAGTCTTTTGGGAAAAAAAATATAGAATTAGATGCGGGATAAATATATCGATATATAATAAAGGCAGAGTGGCAAGTATTTCCGCAAATCCTATACTCAAAAGTAATCGATGGATTAGCAGAGCAATGATAGGTTTCATCTAGTCACTTTTTGCATTATGGTCATTAGCATCCTGCTTTTATCATCTTCCCCAAACATTACTGAAGATTAGATATCTTATGCAACAGAATGTAATGTGATAGGGTGTAATGAGACCAAAGATGAAACGTTATGACAAGTGGCACTTCATGAGAAGTTTAAAGGTCTCATTTGCTTCAAGGTAACGCAATCAGTAGTCTATGCTTAAATTAACAATCACAAAAATTTGTAGAACACCTGGAATAATTACACAAATATAAAAAAACTCCATCCCTAAATCTCTCTAGTATTGTATTGTTAAAGTATGTTTCTGTTTAGATGATGCATCAACTTTCATTGATTATTATTATTATTATGCATGGCTTTTCCAGGCATACACAACGGAGTTGGAAGCAGAAATTGCAAAACTGAAGGAGGAAAACCAAGGAATGCAGAACAAACAGGTAACTGACAGTATACTTTTCTCCATCTCCATTTCATTACCCCCTTGAAACATGTAATTTTTAATTGTGACACCTGTTTCTGGACTTCTTTTCTGCAGGCAGAAGTAATTGAAATGCAGAAGAATCAGGTATCTCATTTATTTTTACCTGTATGTGTCCTTAAAAATAATTGCATGGTATCTTTTAACTTCTAAGCATTCTTAGCCTTCTTTACTAGTTACATATCTCTGTTGTTTCCTATTCTGCGTCAAGGTTCAATTTGTCACGTATGCTAATCTTCTTCTGTGTCTTTGTTATTCTGATGCGTGGAATTTTACATTAAGGGAATGAACTTCCTTTTCTTGATATCTTCTTGATCTTGAAAAATCTTGAATGGCTATGGTCTCTTTATGAGGTTAACCATGTGCTCATATAAATATTTCTCTTCTGATGTTCATTTGTCTATCACAAACAGAGGGAGGAGGAGAGGCAGAGATGATAGTAAAGAGTGAAAAGCTATGACCTCAAACACACTCCACAATTCTTTAGGGTTAACCATCATGTTGCGTTCTAACTCATTTGTGTTTTTTTCTCAAATAACGTGTGGAATTTTTTTCTTGCCATCTTTGTTGACATTGTTGTATTCCACTAACTGATGCATTAGTCTCCCTGCTTATAGGAAATTTAATATTTAGCCCTTGTTTGAGCCACATTATTTTTATAAGAATGCATTTTTTAATAGTGTATTGATGGAAATGTGTGGTTAAAAATAGGAAAAAGTTTTTTATTTGTGTGTAATATTATTTTATTGAAAAATGTGTGGTTAAAATGATGTCAAATAACTGTTTAAGAATGTATTTTTTTGAAAGAATGTGGGTCAAACAGGTGAAAATTAGCCATCCCTCTCCTCTTACTTCTGGCATTAATAAAAATGGACTTTGAAAAAGAAAGTTTTAGCTTGCGCTGCCTCAAACTTATTTTCTTAAAATCATTCCCTTTCATAATTTCTCATGAATGGTGCAAGATGGCTTTAGTGTCAATTAAGATTTTTTCCATTAGCTTTCTCTAATATAATTACCCTTGTTTCATAATCGTTTATTTCTTTTCCTTGATCCTATTGTCCATTATTACTCTCTTGCATCTATTTGCATACTCATATTATTCATCAAATTCATCAAATTATATTTACCGAACCCTCCAATTAGATTTGTCCTTTTCTGGTTTGCCATAACAAAATTTATTTTACTGCTCCGATGATCATGGAAGATCTACAACGTTTTTGTCTCCCATTGACTTTTAGGTATTGCCAGTGTTAAGAACTCATGCTAAGCAGCATGCTGTCTGGATCTTTTCCGTAAAGTCGTTCAATGTGACATGATAGGCATTAATGTTAATCAAAATGTCCCTCTAGCCAAATACATTCAAATTTTATGTTTTTATGGCCTATAGTGGTCAACTCATTTTTTCCTGTTATTCTTTTGGGGTGGAGAGTGGGGGTTAATAAGTCACATTTTGATTGTTGAAGATACGATTTCATCAGAAGACACTTATTATTTTGATTTCTTTTTTCTTATTTTTAAGCTGTCTTTTGGTTTAGAGGCGCAAAAGAACCCTTAATGATCCTCAACCACCCAAACTACAGCCACGTCTCTTTTCCAAATTAAGCATGCAATATTAACTGATCATAACACAAGATCTATTATGAGCTGGTGTTTTGGTTTCTTATGTTATTGTTGGTTGTATTTCGGCTCTTGAACACTCGAGCTTGATGACAAGGTATATCTGACTTCTCGATACGCAGTATTTAATATGAAGCAGGAGTTCATTGAGCCATGTTGCATGTTATGCTGCTCACCCAACGGCATTTATGGTCTGATTCTGTTGCAATTGTGAACCCACTATTGCAGGACAGGCACTTGGGATACGTGCTGGCTTCCTTGCCAACGAAAATTTGGCCGTGTGTCGTATCTATTGCCTGACTGAATATGCGGATGTGGTCGTGAATTTATGTGTATATGTGTGATAATACTGGTATTGATTATGTCTTGCATCATTGTACATCCACGTAAGAGATCCTCATAATTTACATTTGGTGTCAGCAGGTTCTGGAGATGATGAATCAACAGAATGGAGCAGATCGACGGTGCTTGAGACGTACACAAACGGGGCCATGGTGAATGTATATCATCATGGATATGTATAGAGGTCACTGTAAATATTTATGAAAGATTCTGCTGTAGATCGAAAAAAAATGAGACGAGTAGTGTTTGCTGTAAACTATGCGTCGTATTGTAGATCTTTTTGATTGTTTTCTGTTGCAATTGCGCTCTTGCGCGCAATATGTAGGTAGACGGTAGAGCCAAACAACATACAATGGAGTGAATTAGAACTTATTTCATTGTACTTAATTGTTAATTACAAGGCTTTATGCCTTGTAGAGTTACTGTCATAACAGTTCATTATCTTACGCTATGGGATAGTGTGTGAGTTTGAGACTGCAAGATGTAAGCTGCCGAACCAGGTTGAACACAAAACAATTTAGGTACTCTCAACCCCGCAAATTACGGCATAGGTGAAATGCTTGTGCTTAAAAACTCAGTAACTGTCGGAGAGGATCATTGGATTGCAAGATATTTACCTTCTATTTGACGAATATAGCCTCAAGAGTTTAAGGCCTGTTTGATTGCACAAATTTTCCATTAAAGTAGAAAATTAAAAAATACATTTTTTATCTTTATGCATGTTTGATAGACCAATTTTCTTGGCAATTGGTTTTTCCGGCAACACCTCACGTGATCCCTTTTTCCACCTTTTTGGGGAATTGAATTTTCCGTGGGTATGGTGGTTTTTAGTTTTTCAGTTTTTTTTTTCTTTTTTAAAATGAATATTATTTTCAATTGTATCAAATATTATTTTTTTGATTGACAATTTTCATGAAAAATAAAGTTATACGAACACAAAAAAAATTCAAATTATCAATATTTTTAAAGTGAAAAATTATATTAATCAAACACATTTAATTGATAATTCTCAATAAAACAAGTTATGGACAATTTAATTTCTTGAATTTCATTTCTTTTTATCTAAATTCCATTATTGTAATCAAATGGACCCTTAAATGAGGATGCCTTAGAGGATACTCCATGGTTATCTCAATCAGCTTTAGTTAAATTAGATTTCATAGGCATCACGCTGGTCGAGTAATTGATGACTTCTTGTGAGAGCCATGGTGAAGTCAAACATTCTTCATTGTGGGGTCAAAAATTAAGTGACAATTTTATTTAAACAACATAAAGGTTAGTAAAAATAATTCAATAAAGTAGCACAAAAATTGCCCATGAGCGTACTAGAAATTTTTCTTGATTTCTTCTGCTCAAAATTAATGATTCATACAAAATGAAAACGAAATTGTTAATTTTTTAAGATATCCGTATTGATGAGTGGAAAATAATATTAAAATTTTAAAGCAATGGTCAGGAAACAAATATTAAAAAAAAGGGTAATTAGCTCAAAACGTCCCTACCTTTCGATGTTTTTGTGGAAAACGTCCATACCTTTTGTTTTTTTGGCGGATTACACCCTCACTTTTATCTTTTTTGCGCAAAATGTCCTTCTGTCAATTCCCCGTTAAAATGTTCCGTTAAATCAAAAGGTAATTAGCACAAAAGGTCCCTACCTTTCGATATTATTGTGCAAAACGTCCTTACCTTTCATTTTTTGGCATAATTAGCACAAAAGGTCCCTACCTTTCACTGTTATTGTGCAAAATGTTCCTACCTTTCAATTTTTAGCATTTTCACCCCTACCTTTCACCTTTCATTGCGAAAAAAGTCATTCTCATCCATTTTTTCAATAAAATAACGATTTTACATTCCTATTCAAATAAAACAAAAAGAAAAGATGAATAACCAACTGCAACCATAGTCCTTAAATTTTTAAAAAATTTCAAAGAAATCATAAATTCCCAACCACCACCACTTTCACAACATATCAAGCTGCCAACTATAAATCAACATAATACCACCTTTCTGCCACCATTCCAACCAGACTCTGCCACCCTAAATGTGGTTGTTTTGGACAGATTGGTGACCAATATTATGGAGGAGGATATTGCGAAGAGTGAGGTGAGGCTGGTGGTGGTGGAGTCCGATAGGTGTTGTGGCCGAAAGGTAGTGCTATATGGATTTATAGGTGGTGGCTTGGTGGGAATATGAAAGTGGCGGTAGTGGAAAGTTTATAATTTATCAGTAGTGTTTTGAAAGATTTATGACTATGATTATAATTAATTATTTATTTTTCTTTTCTTTTCTTTTTGTTTTATTTGAATACGAGGGTAAAATCGTCATTTTATTGAAAAAATGGATGAAAATGACCTTTTTCGCAATGAAAGGTGAAAGGTAGGGGTGAAAATGCTAAAAAATGAAAGGTAGGGATATTTTGTACAATAACATTGAAAGGTAGGGACCTTTTGTACTAATTATGCAAAAAAATGAAAGGTAAGGACGTTTTGCACAATAATATTGAAAGATAGGGACCTTTTGTGCTAATTACCTTTTGATTTAACGGAACATTTTAACGGAGAGTTGACAGAAGGACGTTTTGCGCAAAAAAAGGTAAATGTGAGGGTGTAATCCGCCAAAAAACGAAAGGTAGGAACGTTTTCCACAAAAATATCGAAAGGTAGGGACGTTTTGTGTTAATTACCCTAAAAAAAATGTTTAACGAATAGCTATTAAAAAAAATTAAAAGTATGATTACTATGAAAAAATTAAAGTTCAATGGCAATTAGAAAATAACGTTGAGAGTATAGTGACAATTGAGCCCCATTTGACTCACGTTACATTAAATTCCATTACATTTAATTTTTTTCTCTCCTATTTTCAATCACACAATCTTCCATAAAATAATATTACACGTAAATTGAAAAATTTTACTTCTTTTTCAATCACTCGTTTAAAAAAAAAAAAAACACTATTCCACTCATTTTTACTTCAAAAAATGGGGGCCAAACGGGGACAGAATGAAATAACCCTACTCCACATAGAAAAAAAAATTGTGGGACTAGCTGACACCACCTAAATCCGCCAATGTCTAAGAGGGAATTATAAGATTGTTCAAGATCCTCAAGAGTCCTCTTCACTGTATGGTTGTTTATCGCGGAATCTATTATTATTCCCCGTTTAGCATTGTATTGTGTTCTAGTATACATTATTTATTTCTATAAAATCTTTATTTTAAAATATATGAATAAAGAGTAGGGAAAGATTGTCAGTCTCATTAATGTTCATGTTTGTTTCCCATTAATGTAAGAATGAAAATGAAAAATATAGTCGTTACGGACCCCACATAAGAGATAGAAATTCAAATACGATGGCTTAATGTGGTAAATAACGTCATATTTTTTATTTTAATGGCCAAATAATGAAAAACAAACATATGTGATTAAAAATGGTTTTGGTGAAAAATGGTTTTCAGAAACCTCTAA